GTCACAAGGAAAACCACTGTCTGCACAATTCTAATCATTGTAGGTACAGACATGTCATAGTATCTGAATAACTTTTCCAAGACCTTCATTGCTACCCTGTTAAGTACTAGTCTGTGACATATTTCTTGATTGCTAGTTCCTTTATTGTTGATAGTTGGTTATAAAGGCAGAACTACCCACCACTTCAGTATCTTCCTTGTCAACTGCAGGGCTGGTTGCGATACCTGTTGTCATTAATTTGATCTTCTTTATCTTTAATCATAATCCCATATTTTAATTGTGCTCCTTGGTTTTCTTTACTAGAACTTGCAGATCATTTGCATTTTCCATAATGCAGGTTATTGATGTTTCTTCCTCCAATTTTAAATCCACACTTGTCTTCTTCCAATCAGCTTCCCTCAGTATGTATTCAGCATTTAGCCTGAATCAATAAGGTGATAATATACAACCTTTGCTGACCTAGAACCAGTCTGTTTCACTATATTCCATCCAGGCTGTGGCTTCCTTTTCAAGCACAGGAAGTCCCCCGGTTAAGAATGCTCCAGTTACAAATGACCCATAGTTAAGAATGGAGCCTATTGTAGCAAAATTTGAGTTAAACACACAGTGATTCAAGTTAAATACACAATGGTTTGAGTTAATTACACAATACTACTTATACAGTATTATACAATAGTACTCTTCCGGCTTACATACAAATTTGACTTGAGGACAAACCTTGGGAATGGAACTCATTCTTAAGCCAGGGATAATAACATAATAATAACATCATCATCATCATTTCAATTTATATAGTTGCCCATCTCACCACAGGTGACTCTGGGCGGTGTACAACAAAGCTAAAAACAGTAAAATACATTAAAAATATATAAAACAAAACAGAGAATAAAAGGAAGTTAAAAATAAGGGAACCATCTTACTAATTCCCCAGTCCCCTGGAGTCCCCAGACCTGCTCGCATAACCAAGTTTTAAGGGACTTCTGGAAGGCCAACAATGACGAGGCCAGCCTCACCTCAAGGGGGAAAAGGTTCCACAGCGCAGGCACCACAGCAGAAAAGGCCCGCTGCATGGGGCCTGCCAAATGTATCTCCCTAGGCAATGGAATCCATAACATGCCCTCTCTGCTGGATCTGGTAGGACTGGCTCCATGCCTTGAAGGGCTTTAAAGGTCAACACAAGCACCTTGAATTGGACCCAGAAACAAACTGGTAACCAATGCAGCTCACAAAGCTGCAATGTGTGTTCTACTAGAAATACACATAACTGCTTGCGCTGCTGCATTTTGCACTAGCTGAAGTTTCTGGATACTCTTCAAGGGCAGCCCCATGTAGAGCACATTGCAGTTGTGTAACCAGGAGGTGACCAGGGCATGAGTGACTATGAGTAGATCCCTCTGATCTAACTGGAGCACAATACAAAGTTGTGTGAAGGCCCTCCTAGCCACGACTGCCACCTGCTCTTTGAGCAGGAGTTGTGAGTCCAGGAGGACCCCCAGATTGCACACAGGGTCTGTTTGGGGCAGTGCAACCCCATCCAGTACAAAGATGGTAAAATCCTAGAACCAGAGGGGCTCGAAACCCAAAGCCACTTGGTCTTGCCAGGGTTCAGTTGAAGCTGTTGTTCCCCATCCAGATCCTCACAGCCTCCAGACACCAAGATAGGACGCCCACAGCATTGCTTGTCGCCAGGGATGGAGATGTACCATTAAGTATCATCAGTATACTGATGATACCTCAACCTATGGCGATGGATGAGCTCACCCAGTGGTCTCATGTAGATGTTAAATAGGAGAGGTGAGAGCACCAACCCTGTGGCACCCCACATAGCAGGGAGCAGGGGTGGGATCTCTTCTTCCCAATCACCACTGACTGAAACTGACCCTGGAGAAAGGAGGTGAAGCAGGATAATACCATGCCATCCACCCCCAATTCTCTGAGTCAGTCCAGAAGGATACCATGGTTCATGGTATCGAAAGCTGCCAAGAGGTCAAGTAAGGCAAGGATGGACACACAACCACCATCCCGCCCATGCCAGAGATCATCCAAAAGCATGACCAGTGCTGTTTCTGTACCATACCCAGGTCTGAACCCTGACAGAAAAGGATCCAGATAATCTGCTTCATCCAAGGTCCTCTGAAGCTGCTGCACAACCATCTTCTCAATCAACTTCCCCCAAAATGGGTGGTTGGATACTGGACGGAAGTTGTCCAGTATTGTGGGGTCCATCGATGGCTTCTTAAGGAGGGGGTGAAAGTCTCCAGCCCCCTCACTCAAAGAATTCACCATCATCAGAACCCACCCACACGATACCCCCTGGGCTGCTTTCACAACCCAAGGGGGGCAGGAGAGAGCAGGTCCTAAGGACC